AATTCTGTTATTATTCCTTTGAACAAACTTTCTATTCCTATCTTTCTCTCTACCTCCTCTTTAAGGCCAATAACTTATATTTGCCCTTTCGAGGCTGTTTTCTAAATCTTGTAGGTGTGCTTCATTCCTTTTTAATCTCTTTTCTTTTGTTTCCTCTGTGTATTTTCAAATAGCCTGTCTTGAAGTCACTAATTCTTTCTTCTGCTTGCTCAATTCTGCTGTTAAGAGACTCTGCATTCTTCGGTACGTCAGTTGCATTTTTCAACTCTGGAATTTCCGCTTGAATTTTTAATTATTTCAATCTCTTTGTTAAATTTATCTGATTGGATATTGAATTCGTTCTCTTTGTAACCTTGAATTTCATTGGGTTTCCTCAGAACAGCTATTTTGAATTATCGTCTGAAAAGTCACATATCTCTCTCTCTCCAGGATTGATCCCTTGTGCCTTATTTAGTTCATCTGGTGAGGTCATGTTTTCCTGGATAGTCCTGATGCTCAAGGATGTTTGTCAGTATCTGGGAATTGAAGATTTAGGCTTTCATTGTAGTCTTCACAGTCTGAGCTTGTTTGCAGCCATCCTTCTTGGGCAAGCTTTCTAGGTATTCAAAGGGACTTCGGTGTTGTAATCTAGGTTTCGGTCCCTGCAGCTGTATCTGCACTAGGGGGCACACTAATTCTGGTAATTCTGTGCCTCTTGCAGACTTGTAGAGGTACTTCCTTGGTGGTCTCGGATAAGATTTTAAAGAACCCTCTGGTTAGCAGGCAGAGATTCTTGTTCTCTTCTCTCATATTCTCCCAAACAAATGGAGTTTCTCTCTCTGTGCTGAGCTGCTTGGAGTTGGGGGAGGGGTGATACCATCCCTCCATAGGACTTTGCTGGGCCACACTTGAAGCCAGCGTAGCACTGGGTCTTGCCCTAGGCCTGCTGTGACCACTATCTGGCTCCTACCTATGTTTGCTCAAGGCCTCTACAATCAGCAGGTGGCAAAGCCAGCCAGTCTTACGTCCTTCCCTTCAAGGTTGCGAGTTCCCCCAGGCCCCAGGTGGGTTCAGAGATGCCGTCAGGGCGCCAGGGCCTGGAGTCAGAAACATTAGAAATCTACCTGGTATTCTATTCTGCTGCAGCTGAGCTGGCACTCAAATCACCTCCCCTTTCCAGAGGCAGAGGAGCTTCTTTCCATGCCACCATCACCATAGGCCCACAGGAGTATTGCAAAGCTACTGCTGATGTTCGCTTAAGGCTCAAGGGCTGTTCAGTCAGCTTGTGGTGAATACTGCCAGGCCTGGTACTCACCCTTCGGGGCATTTGGCTCCCTTCTGGCCCAGGACAGGTCCAGAAGTGCCATCCAACAGCCCAGCTTGGAACCAAGGACCCCAAGAGCCCACTTGGTGTGCTACTCTACTGTGGCCACGCGGGTACCTAAGCTGTAAGACAAAATCCTATTTACTCTTCCCTTTGCTTGAAAGAGTCTCCCCTTGTAGCCACCACTGCTGGGAATGTGCTGGGTCACATCTGAAGCTAGCATGTTTCAGAGTCTCACCCAAGCTGAGACTTGGTCTTTAGTGCCTTATTTAGTTCATTTGGTGAGGTCATATTTTCCTGGATGGTCTTGATGCTTTTGGGTGCTTGTCAGCATCTGGGCATTGAAGAGTTAGGTATTTATTGTAGTCTTCAGAGTCTGGGCTTGTTTGTACTCTTCCTTCTTGGGAAAGCTTTCAAGGTATTCAAAGGGACTTGGGTGTTGTAATCTACGTTTACAACCTGGTATATGCTGTGTAGTATATCCACAGCATATACTACCTGGGTACCGCTGCTGATTATTCAGGGTTCTAGGGCTCTTTAGTCAGCAGGTGATGAATTCTGCCAGGACTGAATCCTTCCCTTCAAGGCAGCAGGTTCCCTTCTGCCCTAGAGTACATTTGGAAATGTCATCTAGGACATAGGGCCTGGAATGGGGCTTCATACCTCTGCCTGGTGTCCTATTCTCCTGTAACTGAGCTGGTATCCAAGTAGCAAGACAAAGTCCTCTTTACTCTCCTTTTCCACTCAAGTAAGAAGTCTCTTTCAGAGCTGTGATCTGTGCTGCCTGGGGTTGGGAGAAAGGTGGGTCAAGAACTCCCTTAGATGCGCTGGCTGGTGTCTGACTAGGTTGCATGGCCCCCGAGTCCACTGGATCTGAGCCCAGCACAGCACCAGGACTTGCTTAGAAGTTGCAGTCTTTGTGACTTTCATTGCCTTTTGAGTTTATTTAGTACCCCAGAGCCCATTAGCCTGGGGAAGCAAGGCTTGCTGAAACTCAAGTTGTGACTGCTGGGATGGGTGATTCCCCTCTGGTTAGGGCTGTTCTAAGTGCTCCTTCCATGGGTGTCAGCCGAGTTCTGCCTGTATTGCTTTCTGCTATGATAGGAAAGCACTGAGTTCCAATGCAAAGTTCCACAATTGCTGTGCTCTCCCTCCCCCAAGAGCACAGATTCTGTCTTGGCCACTGCTGGGAGACTGGGGAGGGTGGTATTGGCAATTCAAGGCTATCTTTCCGACCCTCTTCAGTGCCTCTTTCAGTGATATGAAGTTAAAATCAGGTACTTTGATTGCTCACCTGATTTTTGTTCTTATGAAGATACTTTGTAATATAGATAGTCGTTAAATTGGTGTCCCTGCATGGAGGATGATCAGTGGAGGCCTCTAATCAGCCATCTTGCTCTGTCCCTACCACTTGGTTTATGCGTTGAAGGGAAAGTAGGTGAGAGATCCAATGCCATCTTCCTTTCAAAGCTGAACGTACTGACTATCAAGCTTCAGTTTGTAATCTGGTGCTTTGAACCTTGGTCATGTGACTGGATTTTCATAGTCACTCAGGCACTTTGACTTCCTAGCCATGGTTCTTCTTCCACTATATATATGCTTAATATCCATTCAAACTGCTGAGTTTAAGTGGCCCTTCTGCCTCAGTGTCCAGAGTAGCTAGTATTATAAGCATGCACTACCATGCCTGACTCGTTCTCTCTTTTGTTTTGTCTTAATTTTTTGTAGAAACAGGGTCTCATTATGTTGCCCAGGCTGGTCTTGAACTCCTGGGCTCAAGTGATCCTCCTGCCTCAGTTGCCTAAAGCACTAGGATTATAGGTGTGTGCCACTGAGCCTGGCCTAAGGGGACCTTTGATTAATGTTTGACCTGCATCAAACTAGGATGTAAGTGAGAAATAAACTTTTATTTTGTTAGAGCATTGAGATGTTGAGGTTGTTACAATACTTTAGCTTAGCCTGAGTCATGAGATTTTTTATATGAGTTGAAGGTTGACTGTCCTCACAGCCTGATAATCTGATGTGCTCATCTCCTCAGGAAAGACAAACTGCTGCATGACCCTAATGAACACTTCCATTGGCTGCTGGGTACTCACCTTCCTGAAGAAGGCCTGGTTGGGCAAGGCAATATTTGGGCTTTAGGCTTCTTTTTTTCTCTGGTTTCTTGGTTTATATTTTAATTGACAGAATTTTCTTTATCTATATCAGTGCCTCTAGGCAGACAATGATGTCTTATTCACTAGAAAGAGAGATTCTACCTAAGCAGAAGTTGCCAAAATATGACAAACTAGGGAAAAAAGTTATGACTCGGGAAGGCATGGTTAAAGGGTAATTTTCTTAATTTACAAAAGGATCTTATAAATTAACCAAAAAAATAGATAAGGTGATTCAAATCAGAAGGGAAAAAAATATGCAAACAGCCAATTAGACTAATGAATCCTCAATCTTTGATATGGTTTGGATCTGTGTCCCCACCCAAATCTCATGTTCAATTGTAACCCTCAGTGTTGGAGTTGAGGCCTGGTGGGAGGTGATTGGATCATGGGGGTGGTTTCTCATGGTTTAATACCATTCCCCTTGGTGCTGTCATCCTGAGAGTGAGTTCTCGTGAGATCTGGCTGTTTAAAAGCATGTGGAACCTCTCCCTCTCTCTGGGTCCTGCTCCTACCATGTAAGACATCCACTGCTGCTTTGCCTTCCACCATGAGTAAAAGCTCCCTGAGGTCTCCCAGAAGCAGATGCCGCCATTCTTCCTATGCAACCTGCAGAACCATGAGCCAATTAAACCTTTTTTCTTTATAAATGACCCAGTTTCGAGTATTTCATTATAGCAGTACGAGAATGGACTAATACAGCCTCTCATCACCCCTCACTAATTCTACAAATGAAGATGCTGGGCTGCAAATGCACACATTATTGATAAGGAATTTCCCTGCTCCCTTGAAGGCACCCCCAATCCCAGCATTGGTGAATCTTCAAACAGGGCAGGCTATGATAGGTAATGGCTGGTGAAGACAGCAAAGACTCGGCAGCACTCACCATGGCAAAGTTCCTCACTTGCTATCTATCCCCATCATTTTGCGCATGAGGAGGTGGAAGCATGGAAAGGTCAAGTTACCCATCTATCTAGGTAACTATTTCCTCTTCGATGTCCCATAGATACCTCCCACTCACTGTCTACAACAGGCTCGTCATCTTTTTTCCCAGACTATCTTTTTCTCTTGAATTCTTAATCTCTGAGAACGGTATCCCCACCCCACCCCAGACTTTTATGCCACAGAGCTGGGAGACCCTGTGGGCTCTTCCTCTCTCTCTGGCTCTGTGTTCTGTCATCACTATCTCTTGTTAATTCTGTCCCCTGACCATCTCTCCTAACCACATGTCTATCTCCAGCTCCACTGTTATTTTTCCTTGATTTGGAATTACATCAGCCTGAACTAGGGCATTTGCAACTCATCTTACCATCTGTGGTGTTATTCTTTCTCAGAGCAGCCAGAGTGGCTTTCCTAGCACCCAAGTCTTATCATGCCAGACTGCTGTTCAGAATTCTGAGGTGTCTCCACATTAATTAGAGATAAGATGCATGTTGATCTGACTTCTGCCCACCTGTCCTGCCTCAGCTTCCGCCACCTGCTGCATGTACAGGTACATCCTAATACAGCTGGATTGCTGGTGGTTGCCCAAACATGCCACACTGTCTTGTTCCTTCCTTTTTTTTAGGCTATTGCACATGCTGCTCCTTTTACCCAGAATCCTCTCCTCTACCCATCTCCAAGCCCCTCCTCATGTTCAAGTCTCAGCTCCAAAGCTCTCTGCTCTGAAAACAGCACTGTCCTGAGATTCAGCTGCTCTTTTGCTTCCACTTCCTCTGTATCTTGACCTTGCTTCTCTTCTGCCATTATCCTCTAGACTTGCAGGGGGAGGTGTCAGTCTTCCAGGGAGTCAGTGAACTGGATGGAGGGGCAGCTTCTTCTAAACTTTAAATCTCCAGTGCCAATCTAGGACAAAGCCTGGTGAATGATCAATACCTATGTGGTGAAAGAAACAGACGATTAATCAATAAGACATTTGCCCTGTCTGGGAGCTCACATACAGCGAGACGATGGCTTTGTAAGCCCCTCACTCTGACAGCAGGCTTGTGGGCAGCGAGGGCTCTGACCCTCCTCAGGAGTTGGGAGAGGCAAAGAGGGTCAGCTCCAAGTGTACACACATCACATTCACCACACCTTGCTTAAAAAACAAATCTGTAAGTCTCAGCTGCCAAGCGTGATGTAAATATATGGGGATTGAGGGACTAATTCTGTTGGCCTGAGGCTTTTCCCTGGGTGGGGAGAGATTCAGGCCCTTTTTGTCTTTCATTTTTCACAAGGAACAGCCAAAGGGAGCCTGGTTCCTCTGGTTCTCCATCCCTCCCAGAGTCTCTTCCCACGCTCCAGAGGGCACCCCTTTCCCAGGGGGTGGCCAGCCCAGATTTGGTAGGTGGCCCACTGGTTGGCCTCCTTAAACTTTCCTAGAACTGTGCCACAGTTTAAGGGACAAACTTTTGAAAAACAAAAACAACCACAAAAAACTTGAAAGACTTCAAACCTTTATTTGTCTAAGAAAATCCACTGTTAACCCAACAGCTTGCTTGAATGGAGTTGTTAAAGATCAACAAAAGCTGGACATTAGTGAAAGCATGAAAACAGATTTGACTCAGTAACTACTTACAGTAGGAGAAAAAGCTGCTCATTCTCATTTGGCAGAGGAGACTGGGCGTTTTAAAGGGTGAAGGAGAGAGTAGGGCGGGGGAAGCTAGCAGGGGCTCAAGTGAAAAATCACGAAGGGGTGGTCAGTATCAATGACCGGGCAGCTGTGCCTGGAGCTGGCAGTTATGAAGCTGGGATTGTACCATCCCACAGAGACTGGGGGACAGAGGCCTATCCTCCCCATGATTGCATTTCAAAGCAATGGCTTTCAGCTCCTTGAGAAAGACACTTCTGAGGTGTAGGCGATACATACACATCTCAAAACAACAGAGAAAGGAATACCCTAAAAAAGGGAGGTCAGAGGCCTTACCATCGGGTGTTGGCTAGAATAAACGGAAAATTCTCCTGGCTGCCTTGAGCTTTCTCGGGAAGACATTTTCCTGGGGTCGAGGTTAGAGGGCAGTGGAGAGTGGAGGACTTTGAGTCATACTCCTATAAGCCACGCTAGAGTTCCTCGTCTTTGAGTGCAGAGGTTTAGACTGTCTTTGTGTGCAGAAAGTCCTGCAGTTCTCACAGAGACATGCCAGAAAAAGTCGTTCCCAAATGTTTGTAAATCCTCCGTTCTGCAACCCGCCTTCACGTTCTGCGGTGATCTTGTCGTGCGAGAAAACGCGCCATATTAGCAGAGAAGGGGGTGGCAGAGTGCTGGCGCTAAAGGTCACGCTGCACGGGTAACTGTCGCGGTGTAGGGGCGGGGAAGAGGGAGGAGACACTGACCACCCCGGAGCTCGCTGGCTTTGGACGTCGTCGTTCCCACAGCGCCCAGGGTACCCCAGTGGCTCTCTTCCTGTCTTCCCCCATTACCACGCAGGCTTTGTCACCGCATTAAGGCATTCCCGCTCTCCGCGGAACCGCTCTGCCATCTCGGCGGTGAAAGGGTGAGAGGGCCAGTGTTTGGGTCAACTTTGACTCCTCCCACCCGCCCGGATCCTTAAGGGCCTCCTCGTTCCCCCGGATCGTTAAGGGCCTCCTCGTCCTCCAGGGCTCCGGTCGCTGCGGGGTCTGTGCGCAGGTCCGCGACCGCCCTCGTTCTGCCATGGGCGCCTCCAGTTCCTCCGCGCTGGCCCGCCTCGGCCTCCCAGCCCAGGCCCGGCCCAGGTGGCTCGGGGTCGCGGTGCTGGGACTGGCCGCGGTGGCGCTGGGGGCTGTCGCCTGGCGCCGAGCATGGCCTAGGCGGCGCCGGCGGCTGCAGCAGGTGGGCACCGTGGCGAAGCTCTGGATCTATCCGGTGAAATCCTGCAAGGGGGTGCCGGTGAGCGAGGCGGAGTGCACGGCCATGGGGCTGCGCAGTGGCAACCTGCGGGACAGGTACGGCCGAGCGCGGGCGCGGGGCAGCGCGGAGCCTGCCTGGGATGAGGAGGGAGGGGGAGGCAGGTGGGGCCCGGCCTATCTGGGAAGGACTATAGAGGTTTGCCGCCTGAGTTTCTGGGCTGACTGTTGAGTCGTTGGTCGTTTAGCTGGGAAAGCCAAGTTCATGTCAGATTTATTTTTGGTGAAGTATGTAGGGGCAATCCCTTGCCCTTCCCTAGACGAGAGAGTCCTCCTCTGTAACAGGAGGGAGTCTGACCTGTATCTCCAAGCCTCCTTAGCTCTAAAGTTTGTGATTCTATCTTATTATACCAAAGTAGAAAAATAAAGCTATTGGCACTAGAAAGCAGCAAGAAGGAAACCAAATGTTGTTCAAGGGCATTGGCTTAGGCGTCGCTGGGCCTTGTTCCTCACATTTCTCCAATCCTGGGGGTGCCAGGGGGGCCTGATACACTTTGACTAAGGATGAGCAAGTGGCATGGGGACTCTGGGGCAGGGGTCCCTTACTTGCCATTAAGGGAATAGTGTCCCCCCTTCTCCCATAGGCAGAATTGTTCACAGCCTGGAACTTTGAGACTTTTGGGTCTGACACATAGACATTTCATACTTAGGATTAAGATGCCTTCTTCTTCTTTTTTTTTTTTTTTTTTTTTTTTTTTTTTTTTTTTTTAGACAGAATCTCACTTTGTGGCTCAGGCTGGAGTTCAGTCGCGCTATCTCAGCTCACTGCAACCTCCACCTCCCAGGTTCAGGCAATTCTCCTGCCTCTGCCTCCCAAGTAGCTGGGATTACAGGTGTACACCACCACACCTGGCTAATTTTTGTATTTTTAGTAGAAACGGGGTTTCACCATGTTGACCAGGCTGGTCTCAAACTCTTGACCTCAGGTGATCCACCTGCCTTGGCCTCCTAAAATGCTGGGATTACAGGTGTGAGCCACTGTGCCCAGCCAAGATGCCTTCTTATCTGGCTGAGATGGTTTAGCTGTGGCCTGTGTCCAAGGGGAGGGAGGTTTGCAAGTTGATCATTCAAGGATTCCTCTAGCAGAGAGCCATCTGCATCCCTGTGTTCACTCCAGCACACACAGATGCACTGTTTTCTGAAGACTGCTGCCTTCTTAAAGAAATGTGGGCTTCCATGGTATTGGAAAACTTCAGTGAGTCTTAGAGAAGTGTTGTGTACACAGACCATATGAATCATGGGAGGATTTTCATTCTCCCACCGCCACCCCAAATTTCTTATCCTGGAGAGCTTTTTCAACTACAATTTCTTGAGATTCCCATCCCAGGACTACTGAAGCAGAATCACCAAGAGTGGGGCCAACTCGTGTAGAATGTTTAAATCTCCCCCTGGTGATTTTGATGCTATAATTAAAGGGTTTTATCTGAGACCATGAAGAAGAGGATGTTTAGAGCTTATTTAAATATGAAGGATAAGAAAAGTCTTCCTATTGCTGGAGAGACTTCAGGCTCTGTGGGATTGGACACCTTCCAAAAAACTGGGAGAACCAAGTTCTCACGATGCATGTCCGGAGAAAATCAGTGTTGCAGACTAGGTTGCACTACTTCCTTCCTCACTTGAAGGATTGGTTTCACAGACAGTTTCCAGTTCTAATCTGCGTTTCCTCTGATCACCTGAAAAACTGTTTCTTTCCCACTTCTCTTTGTCACTGCTTTGCCCTGACTACTGCAACCATGGAAAGAAAATATGTGTCCTTTGCCTGTGCTTTTTGCTCCCATTGGCATCCTAACATAAATACAACTATATTACCGTTCCCTTGTTTTAAACAATAAATGCTTAGGATGGGGTGGGGTGATGTGAAGCCTGGGGTGGAGAGAAAGGCAATGAAATTAATGTTAATTCAGTGGTAAAATGCAGCAGACACTGAGCTAAATCCTGTCGCATAGATTAGCATATTTAAGCCTCATAACAATCTTGTGGGCTTGGTATAATTATCACTATGCAAATAAGGAAACAGTATCAGAAAGAATGAGTATCTCATCCAAGTCCAGAAAATCAGTGTATGCTGTGGGGATTTGAACTCAGATCTGTGTGAGTACAGTACTTACGCTGTTTGTATGAAACCAGTGCATGATATAAAAGTATAAGGATTGCACTGAGGATCAGGAGACTTGGGACGAACGTTTACAAAGTTTTCTTATTTGCAAAAGAATGAGGTTGAACTTCATGGTCTCTAAAGCCCCATTTTAACTACGTTTTATTTATCAAAGGTTAATTAACAATTTGAAAGCAGGCTTGCTGGAGAGAACTCTGTTCAATGACTGCTCTTCTCTCCACCTGATAATTTAATAACACTACTACAAATGTTCCTAGAATTCAGGGAAAGGCCTCATTTAATGAATTCCATTCTGAACCTGTGTCTTTGGAACTAACTGTTTGAAGGAGCTGGGATTTTCCTCTGGAAGTGCTCTGGGTCTCAAATTTCTGAAGGTATTTTATTCAAAGCTCTTAGTATACTTGTGAACACTTGGCTTGAGCACGCTAAGCATTGAGTGGTTAAAGTCCACCTAGCAGAATGCTGGCATTGGCTGCCTGGTGCAGTTGCTGGGAGGGCGTGCTTGTTCTCCCTGACCTTGGAAATCTCTGCTGTCCTTAGCAGCCATATGTGAGTTGATCAGTTTTTTCTGTCCAAACCCTTACTGAAGCCAGCTTTTTATTTCTTCTGCGCAAATGATTAACTGTTGGAGAAAGGAATCCCTTGAGGTTATTATCCAAGATGTTGTTCCCTGCCCAATTCCTGCTGTCTTTCTCGTCCCATACTCAGTGGTAGGCTTCCTGCTTTCCCTCACTTTTCAGTCCTTCCTGCTCCCCAGGCCAGTTTGTAATTGAGAAATGAGATTTTTTTCCATTGTTTTGGGCTCCACTTACTCGTTGCTGTTGATCAGGGCACTGTAGCTCTTTTGGGGAATTGGGGCTCCAGGCTTCTACACTGATCCATGTTTTACCTGTAAATTCAAGGCACCAGCTTTTATGTTGCAGACTAGGTTGGAGTAACTTGGTCATGATGAAATCCATACTCCAGACTTAACTCTTCTTTCAGATCTGGCAGAATAGAACTAGTTATTCTTTCACTGGGCATCATTTTGTGCACAAGAGGTGAAAAATAATATTGCCCAGGTTGACAGGGAAATGAGATGGTTGGGGTATGTTACAAATGGCAACCTTTTAACCTATGATTACTGTCATTATCCCGACCCAAAATTGGACTCCCGGCAAGTTGCCACTTGCTTTTTCAGTGACAGTGATGAGTGGGAAACCTCTAGCGACTACTTCCCACTGTTAACCCCAGCAGTTAATGCCTGTGTTATTATACAATAGGCTGGAGCCACGGGCCAGGCTGTGAGCCACAGTGAAGGGCAACATTAGTAAGGGATGAATGGGAGATGAGAAGATTCAGCCCATGGAGAAATAATGTCAGAAATAACATGCAAACAGATTTGCCACTCCTGTTTGAACATGGCTCTGGTTGTGTGCAGATCTCAAAGGCAGTCTTGTCTGGGGATGGGGCATGTTGGAAGTTAAGGGTGAAGGCTTTGGTGAGGTTAACCAAAGAACTGTGCACCAAGGGACAAGGCTGGAGATAGGGAATAGGGCCCAGCCCTATTAGGCATCTAAATCAGAGGATGCCTGCCTATTTCATTGTAGCCCCGTTCTCTGGGCAGACATCCTCTGATTTACAGAACCCAGCCCCAGGCTGAGTGAACCAGAGAACTGTGGGATCTAAAGACATCTTTGACCAGGCAGGATAGCTCGCATCTGTAATCTCAGCACTTTGGGAGGCCAAGGAGGGAGGATTAATTGAGCCAGGAGTTCTAGACCAGCCAGGAGGTCCAGACCACAGTGGGACCCCATCTCTACAAAAAATAAAAAAATCAGTTGGGCGTGGTGATGTTTGCCTGTAGTCCCAGCTACTCAGGAGACTGAGGCAGGAGGATCGCTTGAACCCAGCAGTTCAAGGCTGCCATGAGCTAAGATCATGCCTTTGCACTCTAGAGCCTGGGTGATAGAGTGAGACCCTGTCTCCTCTCTCGAAATCAATTAAATATAAATATATATATGAATAAATAATACACATATGCATTTATACACTTAGAAAGGAAAAGGTGGTCTCCTCAGAGGGGTGGGGACTTGCTGCTACCCAGTGTCACCAGCCTTTTGGAAGGGGGTAGCCAAGACAGTTACGGGAATGCCTTTACACTGCCACGCCATCGTCATGCCAGCTAGCAGGGCACAGGCTGCCAGCCATTGTCTTCCGGTATGGTTGCAGGGAAGGGACAGTTTAGCCAGCACCTGGAAAGGACTCTACTGATGAGGAGGTTGCGGATGCAAGACTGTCAGGGTCAGGACAGGGCAGAGACGGATCTCCCTGTGCTCTGCTACCGGATGTCCTCCTGAGGTCTCCTCAGGCTTTCCCTGATGACTCTGGTCATATTTTGGAATGTCTTCCTGGGAAGAGCCATCCCTGCTTCTGGAAGGGGCTGTGCTTTTTATCCTCCTCACATTTGAAAGGCTCTGGCTTTCAGGCACTTTTTACTCACCAGTGCCCACATTTTCCTCACCTGCTTGTTTGCAGATTCTATCTTCTTTCTAAAATAGTGATACTGGGCTGGGCACAGTGGCTCACACCTGTAAACCCAGTACTTTGGGGGGCCAAGGCGGCAGATCACTTGAGGCCAGGAGTTTGAGACCAGCCCAGTCAACATAGCGAAACCCCGTCTCTACTAAAAATACAAAAATAGCTGGGCATGGTGGTGCACGCCTGTAATCCCAGCTACCCGAGAGGCTAAGGCAAGAGAATCACATGAACCAAGGAGGCGGAGGTTGCAGTGAGCTAAGATTGTGCCACTGCACTCCAGCCCGGCTGACAGAGTGAGACTCTGTCTCAAAATAAAGAAAATGAAACAGAACAACTAAACTAAAGGAACCAAACTGTGATATTGACATTTATTTTTCCTAGGAGTGGAAGATTTTTTCTTTTTGGCAACACAGTGTTTTGTGTGGTGTAGGCCCAACCTATATGCTAGGCTGTAGGTAAAAGTCTAACAAACTGGGCCTGGCCAGCTTTCCGTCACTCTTCAGCTCATCCCGTAGAAATACAAAGTATGAAAACCAAGGCCAGCACAGTGGGCTCTCTAGGAAATAAGTGGGATTCTTATCTAATGTGTACTTCTGTGAGTCTTTGTTCTCTATGTCAGAACGTGTGCATGAAAAGGAAAGGCTGTTTGGGAGGTTTCCTGATGTAGGACCCCCACTTGCCACAGCAAGTTAAACAGAGCAGAGGCCGGCCTGGTTCTTCTTGGAGGCAGCAACATTGCAAGACCTTTGTCTCAGACTCCAATTCACTTGGCCAGCCTCATCTTGTTCTACAACAAAAGGCCCTGAAAGCTATTTTACTTCTCCCAGGGCCACAGAGACATATATGGCAGACCTACAGAAGCTTCTAACCAAAGCAGAGCCCCCGCACAGGCAGCAGGGTTGCCTAAGCAGTGAGGGGGAAGTGTCTGAGCCAGCCTCCTGTTGTCGTTTTTGAAACTGGAGATTGCCAAACATCAGCCAGAAGCTCTCCTAGAACTCTTTCTGCCAAATAAGCTCTTTTTGGGGTCACCAACTTTTAGACTCAAATCATTTGGCCAGACCTGGATAATTGTCTGGAAAATGATGTTAGGTCCCAAGTCGGGGCGGGTGGAGAGTTTTGAGGAAGTAGAAAGCTGGAGGGAAGCTGTTGGGAGGTGGAGGAGGATTTTCTGAGTGTGCCCTGGTTTGTTTCTCTGCAGGTTTTGGCTGGTGATTAAGGAAGATGGACACATGGTCACTGCCCGGCAGGAGCCTCGCCTGGTGCTGGTCTCCATCACTTATGAGAACAACTGCCTGATCTTCAAGGCTCCAGATATGGACCAGCTGGTTTTGCCTAGCAAGCAGCCTTCCTCAAACAAACTCCACAACTGCAGGTGTTCTGCCTGGGGGCATCTGGGGAACTGCAACAGGCTTGATTTCCCTTCAGGCTTCTCGCTGCATTCTGTCTTGCTATAGTTTCTACAGTAGAGGATGACATCAGTAAAGGAAATATTTAATAGAAGTGCAGTTTGGGTTGGGATTGGGCGCGAGTGGATGATGCAGGGTATTGTTTTAAGGGTACCTAGGATTTGTTTTAATCAGGTATGGTTAGACACGCAAACATAGAAATGACTGTCCTGAAAAAAGAAGATGTTTATACCTACAGATTCCTTAGAAATTGGAGGCATGCCAAGCCACACAAGGCCGAGTGGAGAAGCACCAGGGTGGGTCAGGAGGCAGAGGGAGCAGGGGGAACATGGGGGTAAGGGCTTTTATTGTGGTTTCCATAGGAAAGGAGAAGCAAGGCATGGGTGGCAGGCTTAGGGCTCGCTAGTTTGAATAACTTCAGCAGGCTCTGGGACACAGGTTGTCTGGTACTTGGCTCTGGGGTTGACTAGGGCAGGGGACTAGTGGCCCGGCATGTAAGCACCAAATAAAGGAGGTGACTGGGAGTGCAGACTCTGGATGGGTTGGTATTCCTATTACAGGCACACTTGCAGGTCATCAGTCTATTATTTCTAGGAATTGGTCGGCCCTGGGAGAAGTAGTTTCTTCAGTGTCAACAAGACTCAAAGATGTCAAAGCATAAAACATGCAGAAAATTGAAAGCAAGATTCCCACAAGTATACAGGTGGTACAATGTGCTCATCTTTAGGGCTTTTCTTCTTTTGTTCAAATCTTCATTCAGAATTGTCAACTCTCCAACCAGGCAGACAAAGGAGTTAGTGGAGACTTAACAGCTGTATCTCAGGGCTGGGTGAGAAGGATGCTGGAGTTTCCAGAGCTTTTCAAATGGACTCTGCAGCCTCTGAAGTGTGTGGTTGAGATGAAGGCACATTCCTTGGGTGTAAGGGATTTCCACTTCTGGCCAAAGGCATACCTCAGGCCTTGGCTTCCTTTTGGCCTGTGGGACTTCTGTTGGGTTGTCAAGTTCCATGGTTTGCTGGGGTCTTGTCCTTCCTCATTAAGAAGACTTAGATGCTTGTCATGAGATGATCTGGATCCCTTGTCACCAACTGAGCTTTTTAAGTGTATGGAAGTTGGTTTTGCCCAAGGTCCTAGGGCTCAGCGGAGAGCCTCGGATCACTCCCTGAACTCTCATCTTATGTTTTTTCAAGCAAAGTGTCTAAGCTGAAATCCACCACTCATGGTTCCCAATTTTCAAAAGTCTGAAGCAATAATTCACTGAATTCAGCACTTCAGGTAATTATCTTAGCAAGCCCGTGAGGGGGGTCCTTAATTCCACTTTACAAATGAGGAAACCAAGCCTTAGATCACTGCCATGAAAATACAGAGCTGGGGTTTGAACCCACTTGCCTCCTAAGGCTTTTGCCTTTAACGTGTATGTGTAATGAGAAGAAATGCTTTTCCATAAATGACAGGTTTTGAGCCCATTAATTTTTTGAAGAGGAAGAGTGTAGCCATCTCGACTTAATGGGAAGACATGTGAAGGCAATGGGTAAATACGTGGCTGACATGTGTCACATGAGTAATATAGGTGTTGCTCTGTAGACTCACTATGTCGCCGACAGTGAGCAAGCTTTTCCCCCAAGTCTCTTTACCAGCTAAATAGGCCGAAATCTAGGGACACGCACACCTTCCTGGATGGAAAGAGGGAAAGAGCAAGACCTTGTAGGTGAGTTGCCTGGGTCTGAAAAAGACACCAATTGCAGCCTGTTCTTTTTTATTTATTTATTTTTTGAGACGGAGTTTTGCTCTTGTTGCCAAGGCTGGAGTGCAATGGCACGATCTTGGCTCACTGCAATCTCCATCTCCCAGGTTCAAATGATTCTCCTGCCCCAGCCTCCTCAGTAGCTGGGATTAGAGGCATATGCCACCACACCCGGCCAATTTTTTTTTTTTTTTTTAGTAGAGATGGGGTTTCACCATGTTGGCCAGGCTGCCTTTCGAACTCCTGACCTCAGGTGATCCACCCGCCTTGGCCTCCCAAACTGCTGGGATTACAGGCATGAGCCACCACGCCCGGCCTGCAGCCTTTTCTTATGTCATTCTGTTCCATGCATCAATTGTAGATCTGGATGAGGTGGGAATAGAGAGCCTGGAACCCTGGCAGTTAGGTGAAAATGATTGAGAGCTGTGCATTTGGATTGACACAGAGGTGTAATTAGTGTACTGCCCTCTCTAGCTGGTTAGACATGCTGTAACTAGTTCAGCCTATATTTATAAGCTATTTGTAATGGATTGGTTGCCAAGGGAACTGCTAAAAACTGAAGAAATAACATAGATAGTGTGCTTAGTTAGTGCCAGCTGCTATGACAAAATACCATAGTCTGGGTGGCTTAAACAACAGACATTAATTTCTCATAGTTTGGGAAGATGGGAAGTCCAAGGTCGAGGTGCTGGTAGATTGGTGAGGTAGCTTTTCAGGGTTGTAGATGGCCACTTCTCGTTATGTCCTCACATGACCTTTCCTGGTGCCTGCATGAAGAGAGAGAGCATTCTTGTGTTTCTTCCTCTTCTTATAAGGGTACAAATCCCAGCATGAGGGCTCCACCTCATCTAAACCCAATTACCTCCCATAGGCCCCACATTGGGGCTGAGGGTGTCAACGAAGGAACTTTGGGGAGACACAAACATTTGACCCCTAACAGGTGGTAAGTGACAGAGTGATTACCACAGCCAGCCCACCAGAGCTCAGAATCAAATAACATAAACTAACAACCTCAAGTTAGTAAAAAGAAAAGGAAGTCCCTTCACAGCTATTTGGACAAGGCTGAATGAAGTGTCATGAATTTTATATTATTCTACACTTATTTTATTGTATTAATTTTTTTTTTTTGAGACGGAGTCTTGTTCTGTCGCCCAGGCTGGAGTGAAGTGGCGCCATCTCAACTCACTGCAACATCTGCCTCCCGGGTTCAAGCAATTCTCCTGTCTCAGCCTCCTGGGTAGCTGGGACTACAGGCGCCTACCACCACACAGACTAATTTTTGTATTTTTAGCAGAGACGGAGTTTCACCATGTTGGCTATGATGGTCTCGATCTCCTTACCTCGTTATCCACCCCTCTCAGCTTCCCAAAGTGCTGGGAGTACAGGCGTGAGCCACTGCGCCTCACCACTTATTTTATTTTGAACTTTCACTGTTAGTGTTTTGAATCAGCTTTCCCTGTTCACCTTGTGTGAAGTTTTTTTAGACTAATTATAGACCAGTATGGCTTCTTGATTATCACAAGGATTTATGAATAATTAGTGTCTTTTTTTTTTTTTGAAATGGAGTTTCACTCTTGTTGCCCAGGCTGGAGTGTGATGGCACGATCTCGGCTCACTGCAACCTCCAACTCCTGGGCTCAAGTGATTCTCCTGCCTCAGCCTCCTGAGTAGCTGGGACTACAGGCAGGCACCACCACACCGGGATAATTTTTGTATTTTAGTAGAAGTGGGGTTTCACCATGTTAGCCAGGCTGTTCTTGAACTCCTGACCTCAAGGGATCCACCTGCCTTGGCCTCCGAAAATGCTGGGATTACAGGCGTGAGCCAGCATCCCCAGCCTGATTATTGTCTTAAAAGGTGACGCTAATGTTTCCTTTTAAGTAAGGGGAAGTAAGACATGACTTCAACCCTATATTGAATTTTTGGCTCAATTTAGAGAAAATTGATGTGAAAATATGTATGTGCGTCTGGGGTGTGTGTGTGTGTGTGTGTATTAAAGCACCTGCAAGAGGACCTGGTACACAGTAAGCACTTAACTAGATATTAGCTCTTAAATAGCTATTATCTTTATTGTATTAATCCACCTTATCTATAAATATTATTTTTCTTCACTTCTTTATGTCTTATTTTATCTCTTTAATAAAGTTTTATAATTTTATCTGTAATGGGATTTTACATTTAGTAAAATCCCGTGTTAGATTTAGTACTAAACATTTACTCCTTTCTTCCACTTTTACATGGCAAGTCTTAAAAACACATTTTTTGTTTGCTGTGTAAGATTGGTATTATTTATTCTTTAATTATTAGTAGAACCTGCCAGTAAAAGTATCTGGATTTTCTTTGTAAGAGTCTATTCAAATTTTTATGCCCTCTTACATAATTTTTAGTGAGTTGCTTTTGATTTGTGAGTTAAGAGATTGCTTACTCATGAAGTTTTATTGAACCCACAGAGCAAGGGTCAGTTTTTTTCTATGGAATGTTGCTGATGAGACATTTTGTGTCAAAATGTAGAAGAGAATGTATTCTGCAGAAAATTCTGCAAGAATTGGAGAAGATGGCATGGCAGAGGGAACGATACCAGCCGGTGCAGGGATGGGAGACAGGGCCGGTGGAGGGATGCCTTCCATGGGGGGGGAAGGGATCCTGGTTGATCAATATTCCTTTGCCCTGTTGGCGGCTTTTCTACTTTTCAAAGTGCCACCCATAAGCTTCCCCAGGTGGGTGGATGCTGTGGGCAATACGTGTGCACTTACGTACAAGTGCTGTGCTAAGGGGATAAGGGAAGAGCTCCATCGAGGAGCATATACTTAGGGAACTGCTGAACAGTGGGATGGAATCAGTTTTAGGGGAAAGACAGAAGGCCAGGAGAGGATCATGAGATGTCCGTAGAGCCAAGAATTAATCAGAGGTGAAACAGTGGCTTCAAGAAGGGAGTTTAGAGAGAAGGAATAGGCCCAAGCAATGTGAAAGGAGCAGCATTGAGATTTGACAGTAGATGGGAGAGGAGGTAAGAGGGTAGGGAGTCTCTACCCTCAGACCAGGATTGTGAGTGGCAAGGTATACAGGGGTTCATCTAACTGGGAGCACCTCAGGTGTCCACATTGAATTCCTTCACGTGCATTGCCTCAGGAGTCTTCACACTGGTGTGAGCCTTCCCACGGGGAGGGGCAAGCCCTTCCCATGGTAGATGAGGGTAGGGGAATCAATTTCCAGATCCTGTGAATCATATCTACAGCCGTCAAGTTCTTCTGTCTCACCATAAACCTTTCCTCTTTGTACAGAGGAAAGGCTTTTGTCTGTCCACCCCACGTCTTACTAGGGGCATTGTCCGTGGAGGGAAAATCATACAGGGTCCCAAACAATGAAAAATGCTGGTGTTGATAAAGAGGGTGATGTTAATGACAGGGTAAACTTGTTGTACAAATCAGTGGTTCCAACTCTTTGTCTTACATGAAAATGAAGAGGCCTCCAATCAAATTGTTGCTGATAAATCATGAAAAATACTTGTTGATGACAAATCGCTATGTGACATACATTGCCTAGAGTATCAAGGAATAAGTGAAATTACTATAACTCCCATTTCTGTCTCTTTATTTGTGTGAAAAATTCCTCAGGGCTTATTTAAAGGAAAGATTTAAAATTAATACTGAACCTTGTCTTATTCTAGCAATATGTGAGATTCATTCAGAGTTTTATGGATGCTCTATAGGGTTCATTAAGCATTTAATTTCCAATAAAATCTGATTTTTAATGTTCAGTAATTATCAAAATATATAGCATATCTATTTTGTTATGATATATAAATCATAATTGTAATGATAACTCAATCCTGAAAACATTTCTTCACACTTGAAAGCTTAAGAAACAAAGCAAATTTAATTGCTTCAAAAGAAATACAGTAAGTGATTGATAGCCATAAAAATATATTAGGATAAAGTTACATAAATAAAATAATATGCATATGTGTTCATGAATAAAAAGAGGAATAACACAAAAATGTTTAAATGGATAATGGTGGATATCAAACCAACATGGCCTTTAGATCTCATTACATACTTTTAAAAGCATACTGCAATCATTTTATTTTAAATGTCAATGTTTAAAATTCAGTGGAAATGATATCGTTCAGAACAAATTAAACTTATGATGAAAAAGTTTACCTGTCAACTTATAGTTCTGTGAAGGGTCCATAGCTTTTTAAAACTCCTTTGGGGAATTTAAGCAAGAAAACCTTGAGGGCCACTGTGTTATGTAAAGTTATCTGTTGCCACCAAGTGACATAGGTAGATACCATATAATTTTCTCCAATTTACAACTGGAGACAGATCAGAGAAGTTAAATGATTTGCTTATGGCCACAGAACTAGAGAATGGCCGAGTTCCAATTTGACCCAGGTCTGTTGGATTCTAAGCTCAGGGTACATCTGCCACAGGACAACCCCTCTCCTCTTGTGAAAGTGTCCTAAATCCTTGTGTTCATGGACACTGCAGCTTAGGTATCCAGAAGCTTGTTGGGAATGTAGAATCTCAGACTCCAACCCAGACTTACTGAACCAGAATCTGCATCCAAACAAGATCCTGGAGGATTTGCACATACATTAAGGTTTGGGTAGCTCTTCCCCAGAGCACATTCTACTCCTTTCTCCCGTGCTTTTGCTCAGCTTTGACCCAAGGAACACTTAACAGCCCTCTGGGCTGGTCAGGTCCCAACAGTCCAGCTGTTCATTTTTGACACCATCCCTCAGTGTATTGAAAATAAGTAAGTCACCTGGTGTTCTTTTGTGACCTTTCCAGGATATTTGGCCTTGACATTAAAGGCAGAGACTGTGGCAATGAGGCAGCTCAGTGGTTCACCAACTTCTTGAAAACAGAAGTGTATAGATTGGTTCAATTTGAGACAAACATGAAGGGAAGAACCTCAAGAAAACTTCTCCCTACTCTTGATCAGAATTACCAGGTGAGCTTACAGAGAGTTTACCTTCACTCCTACTAGTCACCCTTCTCTTTCTGACTTCCTTCACGGTCGGCAAAGAGCCTCTCTTGGGACCTCAGTTAACAAAATATGATAATGGCCTTGGTGAGTGATAATGAGGGCACAGCCTGGGCAGAGGTACCGGGGGATGGAAAAGAAGGTGGATATGAGAGATGTTTCAAAAGTGGGATCTCTAGGGTATATGGAGGATTGAATATGAGAGATATTGTGGAGCGGGGAGCCAGGGTGACTCCCAGGTAGATGGAGATGCAAGAGAAAACTTGCTGGAGAAACAAAAGTGAGAAGTTTGTTCGGGACTAAATCCAAGTTTCCTGGAATTACAGGAGCAGGCTTTGTTCTGACCTGCCCCTCACAATCTGTGAGGTGTGCTTATTTCAGGTGCTGGCAAGGCGCCTCCCCGTAAGGAAAACTGTCCCCTGAGCCAAAGACCAAAGCCTCTGATTCTGCCATGAGCTAAGGTTTAAAATACAAGGACCTCAGGGAGTTTCCCTCAGTAGCCCCTAAACTACAAGCTCCTTGAGGGCAGGGGTTTTTATCTGCTTTCTTTACTGCTGTTTCCCTACTAGAACAGTGCCTGGTAGTGCTCAGTAAATGCTTAGTGAGTGAATGGTGTTGTTGAGGAAATTATTACTGGAGTATAGCTGATTGGCAGTAGGTCCTCGCTGTTTGAGGATGATGTGGGAAGGGGTCGCTGCTGGAGTGGGAGTGGGAACCCATGAAGAGGAAGCGTGGTGGGTGACATTGGCCCAGAGCTGGCCCTGGCTGCAGCCCTGTTCCTGTGTATGGACATGGACTGCTCCAGTTCCTGGCCACTTGCAAGCCCAAAGTCACGTCTCTCTCCTTCCTGAACACCGCGCTCCCCTCTTCTGCACTGAAGTGATTTTGCTTCTGGACATTACTTAGCTTTGCAGTTGGTCTAGGCCATTTTGTGGAGTGGGGGGGGCCTGACTATCCTGTGTTCTTGGCAAGGTGGCCTACCCAGACTGCAGCCCGCTCCTGATCATGACAGATGCCTCCCTGGTAGATCTGAATACCAGGATAGAGAAGAAAATGAAAATGGAGAATTTCAGGCCAAATATCGTGGTGACCGGCTGTGATGCTTTTGAGGAGGTAAGTGACCCACTGCTTTTGTGCATCGTGCTCAGATATGCTGCTTGCGGTGCTAAGGTAACTCTGCTGTAGCCAGAGCCAACTCAGATCCGCCAAGGTCGAGTCGTTCATTCATTGCTGCTGCCATCACTCATTGCTTGTGCCATCAACGCGCCGGCCTCGGCCTTGCGGGGGCACGTTGCTCTCACCCGTTAATGCTTGGGCCCCAAAGCAAACAGTCAAAACTTGAAATCGTAGCAAGTCTGAGGTTGGAATATGTAATCATAGCTCAGAGATAACTGAGGGAAGCAAAGATAAAGGAGAAAGATAAAGCCATTTTCCACTTCTCTATCACTCAGCAGTGCTCTCAAAGATTTGAGACCTTTAGAAGCCCCATGCCCCAAAGTGCAGACCAAGAGGACACAGGCAATCTGCCCCTGGAGACATACCATGCTGTGGCCCGAGTTCTCTCCCACGGCATGTACATGCTCTTTTATGGGGTTGGAGCCAGAAATTTCCACCCTTTTCAAGGACACACCTTTGTGGTCTTAAGGGAAAACTGCATCAGAACCCAGTAGAAACCTTGAACTCTGTACGTAATATACATATAGCTGGGTGTTGCTTTATAATAAGAAACATTAGCCATCATATTAAGCCTGAGGGGTAAGCTAAACTTTCCGAGTAGTGGAAGTTCAGTGACAAATACCATTTATTGGGTGTTTACTGGGTGCTAGGCATTAAGCTAAATAAACATTTGAGATAAATTACTTTATTTGATCTTTACAATAACCCTGTGAAATTTGTGTTACTGTCTCCTTTTTATAAGGAAAATGAAGCTCAGAGGTGTTATACACTTTGCCTAGCAGGTAAATGGTGGCTGGCATTAGAACACAAAACTTGTAACTCCAGCATCTGTAGAGCTGGGGTGACAATTCTAATTTAGAGATCCCAAGTAGTTAACTCTGAGAGGAGAGGCTCTTAAACACCCTCTCAATTCTTTGCTCCCCTGAATGACCGTACTTCCTTTTGTGTGAGTAAAATGTGCCCTTTTTTTTTTTTTTTTTTTTTTTGAGACAGAGTCTCACTGTGTCACCCAGGTTGGAGTTCAGTGGCACAATCTCGGCTTACTGTAACCTCCACCTCCCAGGTTTGTGTGGTTCTCCTGCCTCAGCCTCCAGGGTAGCTGAGACTACAGGCACATGTCACCACATTTGGCTAATTTTTGTACTTTTAGTAGAGATGGGATTTCTCCATGTTGGCCAGGCCAGTCTTGAGCTCCTGACCTCAGGTGATCCACCCGCCTCAGGCTCCCAAAGTGCTTGGATGACAGGCATAAGTCACTGTGCCCAGCCCTTGGATTTGTTGATAAACACTGTTCTTTAGGATAAACCTTTGCGCTGAGCCTAGTATAAATCATCATACATGTAGGCACTCTGTATTATCTGATAATCTGAAAAATAGCTGCCAGGCGCTGTAGGCGCTCATGCCTATAGTCCCAGCACTTTGGGCCAAGGCAGGAAGATTGCTTGAGCCTACGAGTTTGAGACCAGCTTGGATAACATGGCAAAACCCCATCTCTACTAAAAGAATACAAAAATTAGCCACGTATGGTGGTGCGTGCCTGTAGTCCCAGCTACTTGGGAGGCTGAGGTGGGAGTATGGCTTGAGTCCGGGGTCGGAGATTGTGCCACTACACTCCGGTCTGGGTGATAGAATGAGAACCTGTCTATTAAAAAAGAAAAAAGAAAAAGGGAAAGAGCAATAGCAATGTATACAGAAGTTGTCTACTTGATGATGTTGTCTTGTCATTTGTTATCTAGTTGAATTCCTCTGTGCCTTTGTTAATTTTAAAAATTCAGTAGCCGGGCGTGGTGGCTCAAGCCTGTAATCTCAGCACTTTGGGAGGCCGAGACGGGCGGATCACAAGGTCAGGAGATCGAGACCATCCTGGCTAACACCGTGAAACCCCGTCTCTACTAAAAATACAAAAAACTAGCCGGGCGAGGTGGTGGGCGCCTGTAGTCCCAGCTACTCGGGAGGCTGAGGCAGGAGAATGGCGTAAACCCGAGAGGCAGAGCTTGCAGTGAGCTGAGATCCGGCCACTGCACTCCAGCCTGGGCGACAGAGCGAGACTCTGTCTCAAAAAAAAAAAAAAAAAAAGAAAAAAAAAATTCAGTAATCTATTATGGGTCAGGCATGGTTTGTAGGAGCCCGGATACAGGCTCTTGCTCTTCAGAATGTTCCAATATGAGGGGCATGGATCTTGCTCTTCAGAATGTTCCAATATGAGGGGCACGGCCAGGAGACAATGACAGCCCAGTGTCAGAAGTGCTTTTGTGTACATACTTAGAAGCTACCAGAGATGTATAGAAGTAGAACTGCCTAACTCTGCCTGGAGAAGGGAGGCCTGGGCATGGGGAGGGGTCACGTCCAGCTCCCCGGAAGCAATGCTGTTCACCCGGTACTTGTGTGGACCGTGTGCAGGCCAGCGTCAGAGGAGGGTCTTTATGGGTAAAGGCGACAGGTGGTTGGGAGGCCTAGAAGCATGAGAGGCCATGAATAAAGGGGTGCTTGGGAGCGTTTTAGCATCACAGGAGCATGGGGGTAAAGGAGAAATGTCAGGGCGGCTGGACTGGAGCTGGCTGGAGGCCACCACACCAAAGAGTTTGGATTTTATACTGTGGATATTGAGGAGCTGGCAATGATTCTGAGCAAGGGAGTAATTATGATTTGCATTCTTCCAACAAATATCTGCTGAATGCCTGTACAGCGTGCCAGGCGCATATTATTCTGGCAACTCTCTTGAATGCTCATTGAAAGGCAGGGAAGCCTGAGACAGAAATACCAAGGCCAGGTCCAATCACTAGAGAGTCTTTTTTTTTTTTTTTTTCTTTTTTGAGACAAGGTCTCTGTCACCCAAACTGGAGGACAGTGGTGCGAACACGGCTCACTGCAGCCTCAAACTCCCCAGCTCAGGTGATCCTCCCACCTTAGCCTTCCAGCTTCCCAGCTAGCTGGGACTACAGGCATATGCCATCATGCCTGGCTAATTTTTGTATTTTTTTGTAGAGACAAGGTCTCCCTATGTTGCCCAGGCTGGTCTTGAACTCCTGGACTCAAGCAATCTGCCTACCTTAGCTTCCCAAAGGGCTGGGATTATAGTCATAAGCCACCTCACCTGGCTAAGAGTCTTTTTTCTAAAGTGCAGATTAGTAGGCCTTACCTGAAATCTACATGAGCATTGTGACAAGGCCTGCACCTCTGCACTGGCAGCATCATCCCAGGTGAATCTCCTGCCCACAGTGTCTGGAGAAGCACGGAGTTAGGAGAGTGCAGGGACCATAGGGGTCAGAGATGATATGGGATTGGGGCTGGGAGGGCAATGGAGAATGCCAGAGAGGAAGCGGCCCCTGATATACTCAGGAGACTGGTTTCTTGATGGAAGGAACTAATGAATCTAGACTTGGTGGGACCTGAAGTTTATACAACTTGGGGGTCCCTTTAAGAAAAAAATAAAATTATTAACAAAAATATATAAAATTAACAAAAATAAAATTAGGTTCAAGGCCTTGAAAGGTTCTGTGCAAATAAGGGGCCTAAGGCTCAAGCCTCACTGGTTTCCTAGTACACCCACCTGCCCCTCCCAGTTCTAGTTTCCCACATTGTCTAGTAGGATGTACATACAATCGGATTCATTAAATGCTTGGTAAACAACAAATGAAATTCATGCTCTGTTTTAAGAACGTATGTTACTGAAGATTGGAATGGAAATAGTTCGGGGAATAGAAATTAGTCCATGAAGCAACAGTTCTTCCACAGGAATCCTGTAATTCTTCCATTATTTTCTGAGAAACTTTCTTTTAGGGAATAAAATGTTTCTTGATTTGTTTCCACTAAAGAACAGATTATTTTGGTATTAATTTTAGTTTAAGATCTTGAGCCAAGGAAATAAGAAAAAAAGACACTCTTGTCCTTGGCTGAAGCGTTTTTGCTTTCCTGTACCTTGCCAACCTCTAATTTTTGTTCTCCTATAACTTGTCAAACTTAACCTAAGGCTAATGAAAACCTAATCCTGCTTTCTTAGGCAGAGTGGAGTCTTCTTCTTCTTCTTCTTCTTCTTTTTAATAATAAACTGAAAATAAAAGTACAAACAAAAACAGGCCAGGCGTGGCCTAGAACTTTGGGAGGCCAAGGCGGGCAGGTTGTGTGAGAGTCTAGGAGTTTGAGACCAGCCTGGGCAACAAGGTGAAACCCCACCTTTACAAAAAAATAATTAATTAAAAGTGAGAAAAATAAACTCTTAAATGAATTTGTGCCTCCAAGTCCATTTGTCATTTTATTCCTACACTATGATGGGCTTACAGAAATAGCAAATAAGATAGAATACTCTGATTTTTCTGAAACAGTCCTCTGGCCATGCGCATAAAAAAAATCATTCTTATTAAATGATGCTAATGTTGCTGATGTATTCTTCCTTAAATTAGGAAGCCCATTAGTTAAAGGCCTAAGGCATTAACCTGTCTACCTGGTACCTCACAAAACTGTAACTCTTTCAATGAGTAGGACTCTGTTAAATATTCATGTAAAATGATAGAACCTGTACATATTTAATATGCCAATTAATCATTAAAAATTAGCAAACCTCAACATGAAATTCAGGCCATCATTTACTGCAAAAACACAGAGTAATAGGAGAATGTATTGTGTAACATTTACTGTTTGTGGTCTAAAGTACTCTGTACTTTGTCCATGTAGCTGAGAATGTTAAGCAATTTTTGGAAGGCTGCTTCCTTGGGTCAGTGTGGTGTGCTTGAGTTCTGGGAATGCAGCACGACGAAGTTTAGAAATAATAAAATCGACCAATGCTTCCTATCTCTGTAGTTGGCCATTGTGGGGTCAGTGTTTACTGAACTTTGCTCACTGTCCTGATGAGCTAAACTTGATGTTTTTAATGGAATGTCTTGTTTGTATCAGTCCTCACTCCACATTATGAAAGAATTGTGGAGAAGCTTGCAGAAAAC